CAGTTTTCCGATAACTCAAATTAATTATATCGCAAGAGTACCCATGCAGAATTCTAAGGACAAATATATTCTAATTAGTTTTCTTAATCGGTATATAAAGGAAGAATTTATAGCCGCTGCACGAGCCAAGAAGAAACTTACTGCTGCCGATATCGGGTTTGTAGATAACACAGATCGCGTTTACGTGAACGACCATCTCACACCTGAATACAAGAATCTTCTCACGAAAACGAAGTCCGTTGCTAAAACCAAGGGCTATAACTACGTATGGGTGAAGTATTGTAAAATACACGTGCGAAAAAATAACAGTTCCCGTGTTTTAATAGTACTGAGCGAGAATGATTTAAACAAAATTGTATAATTTATGGCATAACTAACATTCACTTTCAATTACTAATTGTTTTTTGTCATGCTTTATTTTTATTGTTTATTACAGCAATATTTGTTCAAACAATTGCGCACATTGCTTTCTGTGTTATCGTGCATAAAAGGTTTGTAATCTCTGTTGCGTCGCCGCTTCGCTTTTGTTTCCCACTACTTGCTCAAAACCTGTCCTTGCGCATAACGCACTCGCTTCTGTTGAATCTATTATTTGTTATTGAATGGCGCTGCTTATCTGCTTATGACCTTGGATGCTTTCCTTGCTTATTGCGTTGTCGAGTGCAATATTATTTCGTACACAACTTACGCGCGCTTGAATTAAATTGTAATGGATTATTAATCCGTAATATTTACCAACAAAATTTAATTGCTTTTGTTTGTTTTTTACCCAAATGTGCCATTAATGAATTATTAAATATCTATGTTTTTGTTTATTGTCAAATGTTATTTATACAAATTATTTTTTACGCACCGTTTATGTTAAATAATTATTACTTTTTACAAATATACTTCTATGAGTTGATTAATGTTGGCATAATGGATATTTTTGGTGCTATTTTTGTTTTATTACTATATTGGTTTTTGCATATTACCTCAGATGGCTAATACAATAAATAAACTTAGTGCGTATTATCAAAATGCTAGGGGCTTACGTACGAAAACATGGATATTTTTTCGTAATGTATGTGTCAGTGATTACGATATAATTATTATTACCGAGACTTGGCTACTCGAAGGTATTAAAGATTCCGAGCTTTTTGATAGTCGATATGTTGTTTTTCGGCGGGATCGAAATTACGCAATGACTGGCCAAATTTATGGTGGTGGTGTATTAATTGCAGTGCGTCGAGATCTAAACGTTGTACCCCGCCCTGATTTCCACTCCAGTGCCGAAGACCTGTGGTTAACATTGACACTCAAGCACCGTGGTACCCACCACCCCTTCAAATTACATATTTGTGCGCTTTATTTGTGTAACGAAAGTCGAGGCCTCAGCTTCTCACAACAGTTATCTAATTTTTTAAACTGTTTGGGCGACGTAGTTATGCAACAACCTCATGATAGGTACTTGGTGGCGGGAGATTTTAATCTGAGTAACATAACTTGGGTACCAAATGGTACAGATGGCTTTTACTGTGTTCCGTCCAATTTCAGCTCCGTCGATGAAAGCCTCCTTATTGACGATATTAACACACTTGGTTTTCGACAGTATAATGGGATTAGGAACTCCTACGGTCGGATTCTTGACCTTATACTGTCAAATGATAGTGTCAAGGTCGGTGACTGTAGCGATGATCCACTCGTGCCCATTGATCTACATCATGGTGCCCTGACTATAGATCTGCAATTCGCTGACATTGTCTCATTAAAAAGTGCCCCCGCATCCAATATCTTTTCAATAAAGGTAACTATGATGCGATTAACTCAGAAATTTCAAAAATTGATTGGCACTCTCAACTTATGTCTAAGCCTTTGGAAATAGCAGTAGATTATTTTTACGAGATATTTAAATCATTAAGGGATAAACACATACCAACTAAATCCGTCACTAAAAACCAATACCCTAAATGGTATTCGCCATCTCTGAAGAGGGTTCTTAAAGAGAAACACAAGTTTTGGAAAAAATTCAAAATTTACAGAAACCGATCGGATGAAGAGTCGTTCAAACTGCTCCGGGATCGATGCAAAATACTAGAAAAGGAATGTTACAATAGGTATGTTTGTATAGTGGAGAGCTCTTTGAGGGATAACCCAAAAATGTTTTGGTCATTCATAAAATCCAAATCAAGTATTAAGGAAATACCTAGTACTTTGAATTACGACGATACTATGCTAGATAACGGGCAAGCCATCTGCAATGCTTTCGCTACGTACTTCCACTCTAATTTTTTAAATAATTCAGCTTCTATGTAATAAGTTGTCTAGTTATTCTTATGCGTTGTACCAATTAAGTAAAGTTGTAAATTCAGATGCTGTACTGTCTGCTTATCATGGGTACGTTGGATCTATCCTAAGATATGGAGTAATGTTTTGGGGGAACGCAACCGACAAAGAAATCGTTTTTAAGTGCCAAAAACGTTGTATTAGGTCAATGTTTAATTTATGCATGACCGACTCGTGCAAACCGTATTTTAAAAAGTATAGGATACTCACACTTCCATGTCTGTACATTCTGGATTGCGCCCTATTTGTTAAAAATAACACAGATATGTTTAAGGTCTTGTCTAGTGCACGCCATAGGGATAAATTCCGCATGGTTCCTTCGAATACTGCACTTATGAATCAGAGTGTGTTCTGTAACGCCCTTTGTATATATAATAAAATTCCTGGTCCAATAAGAAGTAATGAGAATGTCCTCAGTTTCAAGCATATGTTAAAGAATTTCTTAGTTGACAAATGCTACTACACAATTAAGGAATTTTTATCTGACAAAGAAATTTAACAATAACATTCTGGGTACCACTTGACATGAATAAAACGATATGGAAATAAACTTAATTGACATTTAAAATAATATTGATTTAACTTGTGACATCTAATGTTATTATTAATAATTGTACGCCTTATGGCAGGACATAGCTGAACTGTATGTACTGATGTAACACCCCATTATTGTACCTATGCTCCACAATAAATGAATTATTATTATTATTATTATTCTCTGAGAAATATTAGCACGAATCATTATGTCCCTACTACTGCTGATATTAATAAAATTTACATCGATATAGACGAAATTACCAAACTCCTTTTAAAACTCGACCCATCAAAGTCCGCTGGTCCGGATTCTTTACCTGCTCTCTTTCTTATTAACTGCGCGAAAACCATAGCAATTCCAATCACTATTCTTTTTAAGAGATCTTTGGCGGAGAACACTGTGCCGGCTGTGTGGAAACGTGCCTTTGTAACGCCAGTTCATAAGAAGGGGCCTAGGACTGACATTACTAATTATCGGCCTATTTCAAAGCTCTGTATTATATCGAAGATCTTTGAAAAAATTATTTATGAGCAACTTTATACGGCTTTGAAACATTCGTTTAGTCCTACGCAACATGGTTTTCTGAGAGGTCGGTCTGTTGTTTCCAATCTTATATTGCTAAACGAAGTCGTTACCGCAGCCATGGATAGTGGCCATCAGGTAGATGTTATTTATACAGACTACAGTAAAGCTTTTGATCGGATTCAACATGATTTACTTTTGAATAAGTTGAAAATAATTGGCGTTGGTGGCGACCTTCTAAGGTGGTTATCATCTTATATAGATAATCGCTCACAGGCAGTCGTTATTAAAAATTATATATCTGGATGGCTTTCGGTTCCTAGTGGAGTCCCACAAGGATCCTTGCTTGGTCCGCTTTTATTTGCGGTGTATTTAAGCGACGTTGAGCAGTGTTTCCGGGCATCAAAGCTGCTATGTTTCGCTGATGACATGAAAATATTAGCACCTATCTCTACATCTGAAGACGCACGTCTTTTACAAGAAGATCTACTGCGGCTTGATAGATACTGTACTAGTAATCATTTAGACCTTAATCCTTCTAAATGTAGTGTTGTCACATATAGTCGGAGGCGAAATATGGTATTGTTTGATTACAAACTAAAACAATGTCAATTAAAACGTGAAATAGCTGTGAGAGACCTTGGTGTATTTCATGATTCGAAGCTTCTCTTTGATACGCATATTAATTAGGTGATCGCGAAAAGCTCTAAGGCCCTCGGGTTTATTATGCGCAACTCCAATGACTTTAGACAAGCCAAGACACTAAAAATTTTATATTGTACCTTTGTTAGAAGTCATCTGGAGTATGCATCTCAGGTCTGGAACCCTAGATATTCTACCTATATATCTCGCATTGAAGGCATCCAGAGGAAATTTGTACGATATCTGTGCTTTCGTACAAAGGAGCTTTATCATTCAGGTCGGTACGGGGAACTCTGCAAAAAGCATCATCTTCTCCCTTTAGAGATGCGTCTTCTGGGGCTGTTGACTGCCCGGAACTCCTATCAAAGATCTTGTTTAGAGTTCCCCCCAAACCCCTTAGGATTGATCCTATTTTAAGTATACCCCCTACTTCTACAAATTATCGGCAGAATGCTTTTCTTTGTCGAGCGAGTAGCAGCTTCAACTCACTATCAAAGCAGGTAAATTTAGATCTTTTTAACACTAGCGAAGCGTCGATTAGACGTATCATTGCTCGTTTGTTTTTTGGAGATAAAAATTAATGTAATAATAACAAACATTTATTTCAGACTTTAAATTCATAGAAGTGTTAGTTATTAACATGTGCGTAATTCGTTATTCTGTTATTTATCATAAGGACCTCATTTATAAACCTATATTTAAGAGATTTTTTCTACATTAGACAGTGCAAATAGTTTCTTTATTCTTTTAAGTTATGTCTAGATGTGAGGACCTGTAATTGGCTCTTTGTCGCTACTATTCATTTCTAGTATATTAAGATAAGCTGTTGGTCTTCCATGTAACCAAAATAAATAAAAATAAATCAGCCCACGTGTTTAACCTGACGCGAGTTTAATATTTTTTACCCATAAAAAAAAGATTACAACGCCGCTAAAGAAGTTTTCACTTCAAAAATACATTAACATGCATACTTTACCCAGAGTTGAGGTATGTGGTGTGCGTTAGATCCTCCTTGCTGGGCGTGCGCGTGAGCGGGCGCGGCGGCGGCGCGACAGGCGGTGGCCACGCGCCGGGCGCGCAGCAGTCGTCGTCGGCGGCCGCCAGCCTATAAGGGTACAGCGGTCGCGCCGCGCCGCCGCACCTCACTACCACGCCGCACGACGTATACCGCGACCTGAACAAACAAGAAACTTTTTAAAATTTCCTTATCTCTTTCGCACAAAAAGAAAAACATGGCATACCTGTAGGTGGGCTTAGACATGTGACCGTTAATAAGGCGTTAATGAGCGCAAAACATTAACGACGCTGTACCGCTAAAACCAGATAATACTAGTGTCGCCGACCAGTCTTACGCACGGGATGAGACGTGCGGGAGGATGGATCACGAACAAGGGAACGGGCTGCCGCGGCGACGGACACTCTTCTTACACTCCACGAACAGCTCCGAACGGCCCCACCGCGTTCAGATTTCAACACCACGTCGCTGTTTAATATCTGTTTTATGTTAACAATATACCAGTTTTCACCTATAATTACAGTCCACGTCATTTAAAGTCCCCATTGAACCCTTATCAATAGTGTACAGCTTACGACGTCACCAGACGCGCACTCTGAGGACTGACCCTAGAATGCGTCCTGCGCGGCTATTCTGTAATTTTTTTACGCGCGGATCCGAGTATTTTACAGAATAGCTCCGCTGACAGAGAGTGCGGGGTGAACCACGGGATTGTGCCAGCACCGCTTCGCAGCTTCGCCTCCGCCGGTGACAGACCATTGCCGAATCGCTTGATGTGCGGTGTCTCAGAGCATCTAAACACATTATACCTCCCATAGCAATATACATTATTCTTCACGAAGGAGAAATATTAAGTAGGTAATGTTATTTTATTGAACGCTTACAATTTTTCTTAAAATTAAAGAAATTCGCATTCATTTTTATAGTATTGAGCAGGATAGTTGCGGTTTTCTTTTTGCAACAAATTAAATATACCTACTATTACAGACAAAAGTCTTCGTTGCTAACTATTGCATGGGTCGACAAAGTTAGTTTCTCAAGTAACAATAAAATCTTGGTAATTACTGGAGTTACCTAAAACGAATGACAATAACATTTGAGCAAGTATATTTACAATAATAAATGCGTACCTACATATTTTTCATAGGCGTAAGCTACGCCTAATCCATCCGTGATCCATTTACGTAATGTTCGGATACCACGGGGGCGCCGTCGTCTATTAGCCCACTTGCCTTACTAATAGACATCCATTCGCTAAGTGAATTATGATACCGGGAGTACCCGTTCCCTCCCTTGATCAGAGACGCTGCTTTGTGGCTGAAGCTGATAAGCCTTGGCAAGTGAAAGGCTGTCTGTAGGAGGGTGAGCTAAGGCATATAATACAATACGAGTATATAGTGTCCTATATAAACCTCAACAAATTTTCACATAAAGAGATTTTAGTAGGTATTTGCAAATGCAAGATCTTGATCGCCTACTTAGTTTGTACACTATATACAATGACAATACTTAGAATTTTTGTAGAAGTTAGAGAATACATTATTTACATTTTCGTCCGTTTTACCCTACAGTTTTAAAAAAAACGACATATTTTTTCCTTTACGAAATACTTAATGGTTTGTGGACCGCAGTCTGATAGACAGTCGATTCGTCCGTGCGGCATATGACTGAACAAATCGCCGAGACGAGGATTCAACGCAAGCGAGGTCACAAAAACTAGACGAGAATTTGCATAGTCATAGTAAAAACGATTTTTTTTCGTAAATTGAGATTCAAGCTATCATGCAAGATATAGCCAAAGTTCTTGTCATACATGGATAGATTTGAAAATTAAAGATTCCATCTTAAATAACTAAGTACCTTGTCGTTTACTCATTTGTAATAAATGCAAAGATTCGTAAATGTGCAAGCAATATTTCTAATGACCATGTGCTGTTACTATTTAAAAGATGTTGTTTGTTGACCACCATATTTATGTAACCAATTAAATACAAGTTTCCCTTGCAGCAATTTTGCTAATCTTATTTTAACTAAAACTAGATTTAGCCCATACAATTATGACAAATTGACATTAATGTTTTGACATTTGTTTGGGTTGAGGTAACATTTAGTTGAATCGAGATTAGCAAATTCGATTAGAGAGGCCCTTAGGCCCTCATTAGATTAGATTATAGGATTGTAGCGAGGGACCTATCCATAAAAAAATGCAGACTAACTGAGACTTCCTGCTACAGTAAATCAAATGTTAAAGCTAAAGTCTCGTTCGCCAAGAAAATCCGCACAGCGTTCTATCTGTGGAAGAGAAACCACACGAAATTTCTATTGAATTATTAATGTACACTTGATTCTTAACCGTGCGCGGATTTATAACCACGTCGTACTTTAAATTCAATCGGAGTTAACAGAACTTGGTAATTTATCTCCTATTGTTTGATTAAGATCGATGTAGTTCGAACATGGTAAAGCCCATTCAGCCAGGTTAGTTAGGCTGCGGTTTTGATAGTTGAGAACTGAGCGTGCATGACACCAAGCGAGCTCCAGTGATTGCAGGAAATTGACGTTGTTACGAATTCCATGAATATGTAAGAGCTTGAAAAATCTGACTCTCCTTTTTTGTATCCAGTGTAGCGAATGATGTTTAATGCATGTGAGCTTATACATGTTAATTATACGTTATTATGACAATGAAGAGGTGAGATATACCGTTACAAAAAACTCTGTTTATTTTATGATGATTTCCATTGAGGAATACGATGTTTGTTTCCTAAAATGTTCTATTCTCAAAATGTGTGCTTTCTTATAATGATTAATTTCTAATAAAGTAAAACAATAATAGTAAAATAATAGTGTAGGACATTCGTGTGGGCATGCTGAAGCAGATTTCGTCGATTCCTTTATTTTCGTTATTTTGTAAAGTGACATTGTGGAATTATCCAATAAGCACATTATGGCACGTTCTGGAAATAGCCACACCATGTATACTTATGCTGCGTATTTGGAGATCAGAGGCCCAAGCGGATCCGTAATCTAATCGTCATCGTCAAATTTTCTGTAAGAGGAGCCAGTTTATTCTTAAGTCCGACAGGGGCGCTGCTTTGTTTTCATATATAGAAACTTTGACGATGCGATACGATTACGGAGTTGACAAAAATCATGTTTGGGCCTCTGTTGTGTTGGTTGGAGTCTCATGATCCTTGCTTCCTTATTCTCATTTGAGGATATCCCGGGAAACATATGACTTTCATTTTGATTATCATAAAACTAACTGCAGGACTTATCTACAGTAATAACTCGGTAACAATTTGTCAACCGATATATTTGGAATTTTTATAATTTTAAAGTCCACGAGTAAGAAGTCGAGAACAAAGTTTAGTTTGAAATAAATATTTCCTATCCAACATTTAAGTAATTACCTTTTCCCATTCATTAAAGTTCACTGTTATGATGAAGTTAAATCATTTCAAAATCTCATAATATTCGATTTTATTATCAAAGTTTGTAGAATTTTCTAGTGGAAAGCTTTGGAAGGATAGAAGTAATCTACCTACGTCGTATTTAATAAGAGGCGGCTGTTGACACTTCATTAAAATTCAAGGCAGTTATTAAATCTTGTCTATTAACAAACAATTATGAAAATCAAGAGCTATGCTATCAGTCCGTAAATCTACGACGTAAGACCTTGACCTTGTATCGGGAAAATCTTGAGACAACACAAGAAGATTCTGTTTTATTCGACAGCATATTAATCAGTTTAAGTTTCCTTAATTTTCTTTATGTTTTCGTTAGTTACTCATTTCCTCGTGATATAAGCGCTGAGAATTCAAATCAAATATAGTTGTTGCAGTAAAGAAACTTGATTTTCTGCCACTCAGTATTGTAGCGTTTGCCTACTTTTGCAGCCCAGTCAGGCTGATGAGTTGATAGCCTACGCGCAATGCAAATACCTACCAGTTTGAGCGTAACAGTATAAATTATATTATAATTTACACTGTTATCAATTCAGTGATTGACAGAGTTCCGTTACTTTAGCATATATAGAAAAGCCTGCGTAGACGAGGAGCTTTGTCCTCCGCGACTAAAGTCCCGCAATCGTGAAAAAAATTGCCGTCGAGGACTTGTCACGGACTTAATGCACACGATGTGCGAACATTTGACGCCCGAAAATTTAGAATAGCGCGCGCTATAGATCACATATTCTCAGATTACGTAGTGTCGAAATTAACATGAAGCTTACGAACAAGAGAATACTGGGTTCATCCCTTTAAATTGCATTGCGGGCTGTGTGCGTTGCTGCGCCCAATCACATGAGTTATATTTTTTTCGGGGAAACCCACGTTTTGTCCTGGCCGGTCTCTCGGTAGCCTCAGTTGTTAAGAGGAATTTTTGGAGATGGTGCTTTTAATCCATCGTGTACGTTTCTCTATGCAGTTGTAAGCGAACTATTTCGGGGGACAAAAATGTCAGCGGACAATAGGGAATAGGGAATGTGCATCAAACCTATAAACAAGATCAATGACCTTGCAAGATAATGACATTTTGCGTTTCATAACTTCACTGCGGATGCAAGTTAGAACCTACGTCAATGAAATATACATTATGTTTCATACATTTTTGATAAAAAAATAAATGTCATACTGAAAAGTTGTACTCGGTGTCTAGGTGGAACGCAGCTTTGATATCTGCGCACTCGCGCTATAATCTCGTTGACATTGGCATATCCTGTGAACATCACGTTTGTTTGTTGTTAGGATATATTTTTACGTCACAGCCGCTCTCGTCGCGTTTCAATTCATTTGAAACGCGACGAGAGCGGCTGTGCGATTGAATTTCCCACAAGATTTTCGCACTTTATAAAAGTGAATTTCTTGCTCTAAAAGAAAATTTGTTAACAAATATTGATGGAGGGAGAACTTTAAAGTATTTTTATATAAAAATTAAATGAAGCTTATTTAAATTACATGCACTATCCCTATTGTCCCTCTAATCATAATCTCAAGCTCTTCAAAACGTCGCATCAAAACGCATTCAGGACGCATTCTGTTTCGAATCTCAAGCTGTGTTCCAGCAGCGTACAACCACAAAATAGAAAGTAGCCATAAGGACGGTTTCCAGGGCCGGATTTAGAGGTGCGGGGGCCCCGGGGTAACGAAGGAGAAAAGACCCCAAAATCTGGGCTAGACCACCTACGATTTGCACCCCACCCCTTGGTTTTGTAATCTCTCTTGTGGAGGCCCCTGCCTTAAATAGGGCCCTGACGATTTCCGTCATATTCGAAAATAATTATTTTCATAATCATCTAAAGTCACTGCTTTTGTTTGTAACAACACGGGTTGCTAGTCCCAAATAAATTATTCTGATTTCTACTTATATCTTATATGTGTATGGTGTATGTATGTATATACTAATATATTATATAGTTTACCAGCGATTTACACCGCCGTCTCTCCCACTTCCTTCTAATCCTCTCCATCCAAAGGTTGCCTGGAAGAGATCGCCTTAAGCGATAAGGCCGCCCATTGCATCACGTGTACTAGATGGTTTTGTACTTAATGTTCAATGTTTTTTTGTGGTGTACAATAAAGAGTTTTTGTATTGTATTGTATTAAAACTGCGGTAGAATCACATCTTGTTCTGCCCAACTCTTTAATTGGGTTTAGATCCCCCCCCCCCCCCCCCCTAGTATTAGTAACTCAGCTTTATATGGCTTCTGCCGCCCTTCCCAGCTCTTGCAGCCGCCCCTCGCAGCCTGCTGCCCCGGCCCTCTTGGCCCTAGGATAAAAACGCGCCTGGCTACCACACAAATAAGCTGACGAGTTATATTCGGGTAATATTTATACGAGTGACTGCTGACTTTATTATTAATCAATGTTCGTCTTCAGTTCGCTGATTCAAATTCATACCGCTCAATTTAGTAAAACAGTATCTCATTATGCGGTGCGTCTGCGGCGATCTGAAGTGCACCTTTAGCACCACCACCGTCACGCATATACTGTCAAACAAGCTGACGAGTCATATTCTCACCTGGTGGTATCAAACTTGTACTGCGGCCGCTTCATGAAGAGCAGCCGCGGCACTATGTGTATAAACACCCGCCTGGCCCGCGGCGCCGTGCGGTGCGTCTGCGGTGAACTGAAGTGCACCTTTAGCACCATCACCGTCATGCATATACTGTGAAATAGGCTGACGAGTCATATTCTCACCTGGTGGTATCAAACTTGTACTGCGGCCGCTTCATGAAGAGCAACCGCGGCAGTATGTGTATGAACACCCGCTTTGCCCACGGCGCCATGCGGTGCGTCTGCGGTGAACTGAAGTGCACCTTTAGCACCATCACCGTCATGCATATACTGTGAAATAGGCTGACGAGTCATATTCTCACTTGGTGGTATCAAACTTGTACTGCGGCCGCTTCATGAAGAGCAGCCGCGGCAGTATGTGTATGAACACCCGCTTTGCCCACGGCGCCATGCGGTGCGTCTGGGGCGATCTGAAGTGCACCTTTAGCACCACCACCGTCACGCATATACTCTCAAACAAGCTGAAGAGTCATATTCTCACCTGATGGTATCAAACTTGTACTGCGGCCGCTGTATGAAGAGAAGCCACGGCAGTATGTGTATGAACACCCGCATGGTTCACGGCGTCATGCGGTGCGTCTGCGGCGATCTGAAGTGCACCTTTAGCACCACCACCGTCACGCATATACTGTCAAACAAGCTGACGAGTCATATTCTCACCTGGTGGTATCAAACTTGTACTGCGGCCGCTTCATGAAGAGCAGCCGCGGCAGTATGTGTATGAACACCCGCTTGGCCCACGGCGCCATGCGGTGCGTCTGCGGCGATCTGAAGTGCACATTCAGCACCACCACCGTCACGCATATACTGTGAATAGATAATTTCGTAATTGTTTCGTTCTTTCAAATTCATTCAGAGCAGATCAGACTGGGGACCCCTCCTGTGTGTGTGAAATAGAGTTTTCTTACTTATCCTAAAAAAAAATCTTATAAGCAATTGGACGGAGAACGGTGTATTTGAGCATGATGACGATATTTTTTTTATACTCTAAAGTATTTATTAAGTATGTTATCATGATGAAAAACAGAAAAAAATCTTAAATCCAGCGTGGTCCAACCATTGAGCAAAAAGTCAGTAACTACCCAACACATATCGAAATATCAGTAAAAAATAACGACTGGCCGACCCGACTTCATAAAAGCAAAACTTGCCTTTAAATGTACTATGAATATAGTAAAAAAATGTTTGTTAATATTTTTTTAGTGGTCTTGTTTATATGAAGTCGGTTTTTATTATTGTTAAATAGCGTTTCTATTCTCGACGTATTATAAAACCGCGTAACATCAACTTAATAATCTATATACTTATAATAAATCTGTAGAGAAGTCAATTCTGTACATTAAATATATTTAAAAAATTACTAGCAAAGGGTGATAAGGGATCGTTAGTGATCCCAAAAATGCAATCAGTAAAATTTTTGTCTGTCTGTCTGTCTGTATGTTCAGGCATCACGTAAAAACTAACGGTTCGATTTCGATGAAACTTGGTATAATTATACCTTATTATCCTGGGCATAAAATAGGATACTTTTTATCCTGGAAAAATACGTAGAAAAAAAAAATCTTAATTTTTCAGTTTTATTCATTGACGTTATTCTGTAGAACCGCGAACACACAGTGGATTCAGCGCCGTAGCCTGTAGCGCCGAAAGTCGGATTTGGCTTGAACCGTTTGCGACACAAGCGGGCTGCACGACGTCCCGCCTCCCCGACTCCTATATAAGGACGGCGTTCCGCGCCGCGCGATGCATATAAATTCTGAATTTTGATGCGTGCGGACGTGTTTAGTGTGGAATTAATATTGTACGCGTGTAATTTTAAACCGTGCTTTTTGATTACTGGATTTGATGTCAATTCTAAGACTGTTCCGATCAGTTATTTGTAAATATAGTACGTACGTAGTTTAAGTCTTCATCGTGAATTGGTTTATTTAGGTTGGTATTTTATTTTCTTTTTGTTTATCTTTGGAAACATAGGTATAGTAATTAGGTTATAAGGTAAAGTAGGTTAGTTATTTAATTAGCTAATAAAAATCTCGTTTTAACGATACTTCACAGAACATAGTTATTTTTTAAGAGTGATAGGAGGGACGGTTAACCCCCCCACTCGTCTCCTTCCTCGTTAGAGGCTAGCCATCGACTGCATGTGTCAACAAAACAATATTATTTATTACAACTGTTCTGCTATGACCCTACAAAGAATTCTGTTCACATCTACACAGTTCTTGCTCAGATCATGACAATTATCCTATGCTACCAAGGTAGCCTTGTGATTACAAAAAGATTTTGAAAAATCAGCATGTAAAATTGACGGAGAAATCGGGTAACAAACATTTAAAAAAAAAACAGACGAATTGAGAAACTCCTCCTTTTTGAAGTCGTTTGAAAAATAGAACCAACTGATTTCCTGTATGGAAATGGTGAGGATTTTTGTGTTTTTCATCGCTCGTTGAACGCGAGTTTTCTACTTTTTCGTTCGGGATATCGTAAACGTGAAATTGTATGGAACTCGAAAAGTTTATCTAGTGGAAAACTCAGCTTGCAATGAAAAACTAGACGTTTTGAAAATGTGATATTGATCATCATGGAAAAACTAAATGGAATTTTCATTATTTATTTGTATTTAACTGCATTATTTACATATCTGATGAAAAAAATTAGGATCAAATATTTCTATAGATAATTCATAATGAAACCTATCGCTTTCTAAGAATTATTACTACTGAAAGTTGTGTTCATGGATATTTATGCTACTTTCTATTTTTGAAGTGAAAACTTCTTTAGCGGCGTTGTACACTTTTTTTGTAATGGGTAAAAACCGGTATTAAACTCGCGTCAGGACACGTGGCCTGATCATATTTGTGTACGATAGCGCAATAAATAAATATTGTATTCTACCACATTTTGATAGTACTTTTATACTGATAATTCAAGCAATTCATGCAAAATCATTCCCTAACCATTCCAAAATATCAAAAATGTACAACGTTAATATTCAAGTTTTCACTTCTGCCGACACTCCCGAAGTGCAATCCTTTGTTTTTTTTTTCATATTTGTAAAATATCATAATGCACTGTAACTAATCATAAAATCTCTGTGGCTTCCTCTTTCATAAACGTTCTAAGTCTTAGGAAGTAGGAAGTTTTCAGAACTAGGTAGGTATTCTTACATTCAACTAACATAGCGTATTTTAGGTACGTAATAAAATAATCCTATTATCCCATTTTATAAAAAAATCTGGAAAAAAATAACGGGATGTATCGGATAACTACTTACTATTGCAATAATAGGCAGCGGTAACACAGTGGTCAGCCGCTGAATAAAACATGGCCGCTGCGAGGGTACTCTCGTTTATTATAAAAACTTGGGTATATACCTAGCTTTTTTATTAAGTGTAGGTAGGTTTACCTACAGTTTTCTAGAGCAGAGAAGATTATCTGACTGAGGAACTCTGACATTTTATTCAAAATTTGTTTTATACTGACTCGATCGATATCTTTTTACCTTAACTCTCTGCTCTGGAATTAACGTTGCCCTTTCTTTATTTTTCTTTCATTATTTTATTTCTTTTTTTTAAGGTTCCTACCTCAAAAGGAATGAACGGAATTGTTATAGGATCACTTTGTTGTCTCAAAAATTCGGTAGAAGTATCGAGTTGAAATTTAAACCTCATACTCAAGTCTGTAAATCCTTAAAGCTGTAAAAACTAAGATAGCGGAAAAAAGATAAGGTCGTTTATCTGTCGGTCTGTTAAGACCCTTTATCTCAGGAACGCGTGGAGGTATCGTGTTGAAATTTAAACCACATACTCAGATCTGCGGTCCCTTGAAGCTGTGAAAAATCAAACTTCTAAATTTACGTAAAAAAAAGATGCGGCCGGTTTATGTTGCGTACCTACTTTGTATCGGACTCACGGTGGGCGAGTCCAACTCGTATTTGTCCGGTTTTTGTATCAAAGATATATGAAATCATGAATAATACAGCCATATTCAACATCTTATATTAACAAATAAAATAATGATTTAACTAAATCTCTAGTAGCTTTATGCACTCAATAAGCAAAAGGATTATACATAAACTTGATATCTTCTGTTTTTTCCCCAAGTATTTAATAATATTTGATACAGAAAAATAGCAATTTACTAAATGTATATCTATAACATTTTCATAACTTTTTTTTACATCACATGAGCTGATATCATAAAAACACCGGCCTTGGATACGAAACTCATTATAAGAAGCCTGTGTTTTTCTCATAGATACAACAAAAAATCGTGACGAAGCGATATAGCTATGTCGATTGCGAGTGCGTAACGTAATAGTTTTAATATACACATGTAGAGTGCGAGAGATAGCAATTAATCAAGATTTATTGGGTGAGGGTAATCGTAGGGCGGGACGCTGAATACCGCACTAGTGATGTGTTATTGGTTTTCAACGTATATATCTAAATAAATAAAAAAATACATTTATTATTAAAATAACGTTATGGTCCCACCTAAGTCTTGTTTGCTTTAATTATCCTGACCAAAACTTGATATTTAGGTATGGGCGATTTCTTTTGCTTAGAAAAAATAATTTTTATTTATATCAGCGGATCATCTTTACCTCGCATAAAATCATTTGGCATTCACTCATTTATTCCAATTTTATAATTTTGTAAGTCAGAATTATCTTTAGGTATAAATTAAATGTCTATAGTAATTAAAAAGTGGAACCATTATATCGCAGAAAGTTCACAGTCAGAATCGTCTTTTGGCATACAATATATAAAAAAAAACATTATCAATCAGGTGGCCGGCGCTTTGCCGGCGAAATATCGCGACGGTGTCGCTCCGTATATGACCAAAAGTTTTGGTCATCATATCTAACCCAATCCACTGACTATAAACAACGATTAAGCTGAACGAAATTATGCAGACTTAAATTTTGCGAAAGGTACTCATTACTATATAACATTCTGCCATCTTAAAGGTATGTCATTGTGAATACGGATATATAAACATTCAACCAAATAATAATTATATTTAAAAAAATATACCTTACAAATATTCGTTTGAAGAAGATTATGCCAAATCAATTTCGGAGCAACAATATTATGCCAGATAGAGTGAACCCACTCGTACAACATGATTTTTAAGTAAAACCCAATATAACTTTTCGCTCTCTTAATTTACCACTCTAGCATTTTTATCGAAATTATTGATTCAGCAGTTTACCGAAAAGGCCAGCTGGCTAAAGGTTACCACAATATCATGATTTGTTAGAAGCTAACTTCATATGTGATTTGCTAACATGAACGTGGTCCCATATCAATTCCAATCGTCGCATGAGGTACGCAGGTCACGCCCGCATCTTAAAGGGGTACAATTGATCTCCACTTACACTACGCTCCCGACACAACTCCTTCGCCCCGCAATATCTTCTAATGAAATAGGATTTTACGTGGCATCAGAATATTAATATGAAATCCTTACCGCACGTGTTAAATAATCCCCTTTCTAACAGCTTTTTTAGAAATATACCTGAATAGAAAATATATTCCTCAAATTGCGAACTTTCATTATTGCCAAAATGCCGACCCTCAGCTCAATTGGAAATTTGTTTCTTCGTTTATTTTTTGTGTTTTCGATAAATCTCGGAATTTGTCACCGGCGTCCCTACTACGCATAACGTAAAGCTGGGGGCGTCCTCCTTGCGTCCTGAATAAGCAGTTTCGGTATTTACCAAGCAAGATAATACGGTTCTGCTAATAACGGAGTAGGAGTTAACGGCACTTTATATGACTTCTTAGTTATAACATTTTCATTATTCATGTATGCTTTGTTTTGGAATCTTTTACGCAACAATAAACTTCCGAACTGGTATGTTAAATGAAAAGTGTAGTTGAATGCTTTCTGTTATTTATCATAAAATATTTGAGGCCTCATCAAAATAATTTATCTAATGATAAAGCTATTTAATGTGTCGTATATATTACACGCACATATATACCTTATTTCACACCGTATACGAGCCATAGCATGCTTTCTGAACTTACTCAGACTGGTGATTTAGTTATTCAGGGGCCACAGAAGAAGGTAACTCGTCTGGTACAATAATTTAGGCGATTGTTTTAATTGTAATTCATATTAAATACCACACTCATTTACATTCTACGAAATTGTGAATATAAATATATAGGTATTTGAAAGGATAATGTTGGTGCAAGTGAAGTAATTACATACATGAAAGGAAATTTTTAATCAATTTCTTGAATAAGCTGCAGAAGACCCTTTATCAAATCATGATGTCAAAAGTGTACAAATCAAATATCTTGTTTACAACGAGCGTTTAATTTATATGATAATGGGGTAGATTGTGAGCGGGCGGGCCAACGGCGAAGCCATATTTAAATAATCACTTTTATTTAGAAGATACAGGCAGGGGAGGGACGCCGCAAATTGTCGTATCTGATGAAACCCTTTTGATTGTTTTGCGTAATGTATTGTTCAAAAGAAGTGAATGCGCGAAAAGGATCGGCGTTTTAAGTAGGGGTTTTATCGCTCTCGGCCATCATCAGTGGCGTGCTACCTGAAAATGCTTTATAAAGAATACTTATTCTTTAACCTAGTATAAGTATAATTTACATTGGTACGTACTGGCTGCGCAATGGGTGTCCTAGTTGATGTAAGTAGCGCATAAGTAGCGTGTGAGATTGACAGCGGCCCCCGTCTTTCTTTTCCATAGAAGTTAATAGGATATTTACTCATGGACCTAGGATTTTACATTCTAGTTCACTTCACGCTTCACCAGGTGATTGTCTTAGCAAGGTGTAAAAGGTTAAGCGGTCGCAGTCAGAGCAGTATTTTTTATTGGAACCAAGTTCAATATCGCATGGTACGTTCTTGGCTTGGCTAGGCGAAAAGAACTGTAAGATTTTTCTGTCATGACCATTAGCTATTTGTAGCGTGATTTGTGCAGTTGTGTAAGTACTTATTTTTAACTTCGATCCTACAGAGACAGAGAGAGAACAGAGCTATCACTTTTGCAAAAGCATTAGAATAACTCAAACTTTTAATTAAATTGACGCATTCAAATGCGGTCTTAAGTAGTCGACATATTTGAAAATCTGTACCAGTTTGAGATTGAGATAGATTGGAAGTACTCACATGCAAAATTACGGCACAACATGGGTCGGGATGTACACCGCTCAACCCACGGTCAAATAATAACACATTGTTATGGAAATGATGTGTGTACATTTCTGCCGTCTTAGTGAAGAATGTAAGAACTCCGACATGATTTTGAGAAAATGGCTTTAAGAGAGTTTTAACTTTAAAGCCGGGTGGGTTTCCAGCAAAAGTTGTTTAGAAATATTGAACAAACTTTGTTTCTGAAACATGTTTCTTTACACACGCCGTCTACTGTTCACGTGGCTGTCGTACACAAAATACACAGGGATGCGTTCCAAACCTACTTTCCACCCCTCCTGATGTTAAGTGACGGTGAAGTCCAGACTTTAAGATAACTTAAAGGTTGTGCAAAACTGTAGATTGTGTAGGGCAAAACATGTCCAGCACATGTTTGACCCGGCCGTCATTTTCTCAAAATCATGTACATGTCATGTGAAGAAAAGCTACTCCCTAGCTGCTTTCTGGACTGCGTGGATTTTTTTCTAGTAAAATTTTATTTAGATTTAAACATCTAGCAGTTAAATAGTTAAAATTAAAATATAATTAAAGCTACTCACCTTATAGATACGAGTATCATAGCAAATATGAGGTACTTCCCCAGCAGGGGCACAACCAGCGACGTGGGGGGGATGATCTCCACCACCAGCAGGAAGAACACGTGGAGACTAATCAGGATAGAGATGGACAGCGTCACCTGATCACAATACAATTGATAGTGTTAATATTATTCTGCAATCCGGGCAGATTTTTTTTAAGTACCAATTAGCCTAGCCCCAAAGTAAGCACTGTAACGCTTGTGTTATGGGATACTAGGGTAACAGCTACTATACATATGCTGTACATATATAAGTATATTTATATAGAAATACATATTTAACATCCATGACTGGAGTACAAATGCTCGTATTTATCACACAAACATCTGCCCCCACCGGGATTCGAGCCCGGGACCTCTCGAGTCGGCGACACTATGAAACCCGGCGTATAAACCACTCGGCCACGGAGGTCGTCAATTCATGTGTTTTCCACTTAACCTGGATAGCGAAAAGCGTTGATACAGTAAGATTTTCTAAGAGGATTTTCTAAAGATATAAAACTTATAGTTATTATAAAAATTTAACCTAACCTAACGTTAAAAAAAAAGTTCGTCGCCTCTTTGTAAAGCACAAAAGCGACATCAGTCACCAGTGATATTGATTGATAGACGCCAAAGGCTTTATCATTTGGTATTCAAAGTGCGAAGAGTACTTACCTACCTAAGTCCAATATCGTTATCGTAATTTTTCACAGGGTAACGACGTCGTTACTACTTACACTTAGCTGTGCTATCTACTTATTCAAACCATTTGTTATGGCTCACGCAATAGGAAATTAATGATACGTTGTAGCCATTAAGGGTGGGAGTTTTGGCGTGATATAATACAAAGCCCATCATGCTTCTCTTTTAAAGTCATGCTGTTCCTTATTACTGTTAATTATTAACTTCACTTTATACGTTGAATACTTAAAATATACTACTATAACTGAGCTATTTAAATCTGAAATTTAAAACAGATAAAACACTTTACCTTTTTAGAAAATTATGAAAAAAAAGGTAGTGCTTTGATAGTTTGTATCGGTTTAATAATGGTGTGGGTATACAGTTATTTCACAATGAAATATTGTGTTAAGTTATATGATAGTAAAATTTAAACATACAGGTTTTTTTTCATTTGGTTGAATTTGAATTAATCATCATGTTCAACATTAATAAGGCTATTTTGTTTAAACGTCTATAAAATTCAGGGCTCAGATGTAACCTTAATGACACTCATACTTCTTCCGACGTATACTGCTTATATTTTCCTTCAACGAAACAAATAAATCCGTAGCGAACGCCCTAACTCTTATTAATGCACGAAGTTGAAAATATCGATAGAGAATTTGGTAAGTATCCCTTCGGACCTCTTACATACAGCTAATGCATACTTAGATTGTGATGATAAATAACCTCTACGTTTATTTTAAAAGTAAAGAGAACGCTTCTGCGTCGATCTCCCGGTAGGTAAAGATTTCCCCGCTAATATATGAAGGTTCAAATTACAATATGTGGTCTTTGTTTGACGTCAGCTTTTGGGGCACCAAGAAGTGTCGAGTAAATAAAGTTCGCAACCCAAAAGTTGCGGGATGTTAGATGATGATATATCGCATCGACATAAAAAACTGGCAAAGTTTCATATTTTTTTCACAATAATTAAATTAGCTATCTTTAATATTTTATTTTATATTGCAAGAAATCACTAAAGTCATGTCTGCCGTTTCTTTTTCCACGAATCTTTAGTCTTACTTTAAAATTTCCAAACTTCTTAATGTTATCTGTTCGTTCAGTTACAAAATATGGGCTCTTTTTTCTTTTCAATTCAATTGTTATTTTTCATGAATATCTGCCCCAAATCTAGTGGCTGACAGTCTATTTCTATTGAACAGGTATCTATTGTTCACAAGGGTCACTTCGCACGTTCCAGTTAAAATTTTGGCTCGCCGCATACGGGCCACACGCGACAGCCACAAACGCCGCCACGAGAAGCTAGAAGCGGCTACAAAGGTAGCTGAAGCGGGCGACAGCCACTTGTGGCCGATGGTCGACATTTACCGTCGGTGGCTGCTACTTTTTTTAACACATGCGTGCAGTATAAAAATGGAATCTGACGAAGAAGGTTTGAAGGTGGGGAAACGCGCGAGTGGCGTGTGGCGGCCGGTGCGGGTCACAAGAAGCAAGCAACGACGATTTGTAGCGTGTGGTGACTGTTTCGGCCACCGCCGTTAACTGTGTGCGGCGAGTCCATGTAAAATGTATGAAGACTACAGGAAATATGCCGGTGGCGGCGTTTTGTGGTTGTGGCCGGTGGCCCGTGTGTGGCGACACTTAGTTGTAGGTTCTTTTGTACTAGCTATCGCTTTTTTGTAGATATAAAATGAATAAATATAATTACTGTGGATGTCCATGAGCCTTCTTCTTATAACACAGAATGGCCCTTCTCTTCCCGTGGGTGTCGTAAGAGGCGACTAAGGGATATCGGAGCTTCCATCCGCTCTGCTGGTGGTAGGGTGCCTAACACCCGCCTGGTTTGTTACCACCGTGCGCATGGTGAAAAACCCGTGAAGTGCTTCTCGCGCGTTTCGGGGTCAGCCAGCGTACAACCAGGGCTCGAGTGGAGGTTGTCGCGACGGATTCGGTCCAGGGCTAGGCATCCGTGGAACCGATGCCGGGAGGACTGCATCGACCCGCCGGCCAGGGAGACCCGTAGAAACGGCTGTCCCGCTGGCCGCCCGTGGCACAGTACAGGGGCCCGAGCGTTCCTAACCAGTTCGCGAGGCTGCCCCATCATGTCACGCATAATCTCGGGGTGGACCGTCGTGCCGGTTGGTGACCGGGGCGTGGGGTCCCGGCGGCCACTTCCGGGGGGGTGCGGGGGCCCTTCCGTCCGGCGGGTCGGCGTATATCCTCTGCAGGCAATCATTCGGGGAAACATGCCTCCCTAATTTGCCCGGTCTTGTCGCGACAACGTCCACTCGTTTCACGTCTCTTTTTCACTTCCATAATGGCAGCTCCTAAAACAAAGTTTGGACGTTCAGCGGTGCACACCCCCACGCCTTCAACGCTGTTTGAGGTCGAGTTCTGCAACATACGCGGACTCCACTCTAACCTCAACGCTGTCCACCACCATCTTGAGACAGCACGGCCAGCATTGTTGTTCCTGACGGAGACACAAATACTTCCGCCTGCTGACACAGGCTACCTTAATTATCCCGGCTACGTGCTTGAAGAGTCCTTCAAAGCGAAAGCCGGTGTATGCCTGTATGTTCGGGCGGATGTTTGTTGTCGCCGTCTCCGCTGCTTGGAAGATCCCTCCTTCTCCATGCTGGGGGTACACGTCGACTCTGGCCCCCTGGCCAGAGTTTACGTGTGTCTCTACAGATCCCACACCGGCGATGTTGAGACAACTCGACTATTTGAACACCTTAGTCGGGCAGCAGATGACGCGCAGGAACAATTTCCCAATGCAGAATTGGTGTTTTTGGGGGACTTTAATGCTCACCACAATTTGTGGTTAAGTTCCTCCAAAACTGACCATGCAGGGATCTCTGCTCACGCATTCGCTCTCACGCATGACTTGAAGCAACTGGTTGATCAGCCCACCAGGATCCCAGATATTCCAAGTCAAGCGCCTTCTTTACTGGACCTTCTGCTCACGACCCATCCACAGGGCTATCAGGTTGTGGTAAGAGCCCCCCTGGGCTCGTCAGACCACTGCCTGATATCTGCCAAAGCACCACAGGCCAAGCCTCCGCGTCCAGCAGTGGTCAAGCGCCGTATCTGGCATTATGGGTCGGCAGATTGGGACGGCATGCGTGACTACTTTGCGTCCGTCCCTTGGAAGCAGCGCTGCTTCAGTGACAGGGACCTATCGGCCAGTGCCGTTGCCATTACTGAGGAGGTTATAATGGGTATGGAATACTATATTCCTCATTCTGATCTCATCAGTAAGGGCACGCGTAACCTCTGGTTCAATCACGACTGTGCTGAAGCTGCTTCGCGTAAGCAAGCGGCATATCGTGCTTGGATCAGAGGTCGCGCTCTCAAGGATCCCGAGGTCGATTCACTCAAAGCAGCCTACAATTTTGCTTCCAAGGCCTGTAAGAAGGCTTACATTAGAGCGGATGCCCAGCGCGTTGCACGTGTTGGCCAGGAACTTATGACGCATCCTACGGGTTCCCGTAGCTACTGGCGTCTGGCCAAGGCCGTGCAAAAAAACTTCTGCGAGCCCTCGCTGCCACCTCTGAGATGCCCAGACGGAACACTAGCCCATAAGCCGCAGGAGAAAGCCGATTTATTGGCAAAACTCTTTGCGGCTAACTCCCGAATCGATGATTGCAATGCACTGCCACCATCATTACCTCACTGTGGCACAACGATGCCTGATATTAAAATCAGGCAGCGCGAGGTTCGTGCCGAATTGCAATCACTCGACGTCCGGAAAGCTAGTGGACCTGATGGCATCCCAGCAGTAGTACTCAAAAAATGTGCAGCGGAGTTGTCTCCCGTGCTCACGCGCTTGTACCAATGCTCGTATTCTTTGGGGCGTGTGCCGGAGACTTGGAGAGATGCCAATGTGCAACCGGTGCCCAAAAAAGGGGATCGCTCAGACCCGGCAAACTACCGGCCAATAGCAGTCACCTCAGTTTTATGTAAAGTTTTAGAAAAGGTCCTTAATAACCATCTGACCCGCTACCTAGAGGATCACTCCTTGATCAATGATCGTCAATATGGTTTTAGACCGAAACGATCGACGGGTGATCTTCTAGCGTACTTAACTCATATCTGGGGTGAGGCTATCGACAAGCGTGGCGAGTCGTTGGCTATCAGCCTTGACATTGCCAAGGCGTTTGACAGGGTCTGGCACAAAAGCCTTCTCTCCAAGCTTCCGGCATACGGTCTGCCAGCCCAGTTCTGTTCTTGGGTAGCTGACTTCCTGCATGAGCGTAGAATTCGTGTCCTTACGGATGGTAGCAGTTCGCGGTTCATGTCAGTGAATGCCGGCGTTCCCCAGGGCTCCGTCCTATCCCCCACTCTCTTTCTGCTGCATATCAATGACTTAATTCCTCTTGGGAATATTCATTGCTATGCAGACGATAGTACAGTGCATGCGGGGTATCTCGGACAAGCAGCGGCTGGGCTGGCGGTAACCAAGGAGAAACGCGAGAATCTTGTCATTGAACTCAATCAGGCTTTGGACCACATTTCCGAATGGGGTACCAGGAACTTGGTTGAGTTCAATGCCAAAAAAACTCAGGCTTGCGCCTTCACGGCAAAAACATCGTCATTCCTTCCCCTTCCATCTCTTCAGGGCACAACACTACCGCTGCAGAGCAACATTTCTATGCTCGGTATGGAAGTTCGCTCAGACCTGAATCCAAAGAACTACATCGAAACCGTGATCAAAACAGCTTCACGCAAACTCGGAGTCCTGAACAAGGTGCGGCGTTTTTTCACGCCCGATCAACTGTGCTTGTTGTACAAAACGCAAGTGCGGTCCTGCGTGGAATATTGCTCGCACCTCTGGGATGGCTCCGCCAAGTACTTGCTCGATGCTTTGGATAGGTTACAGCGACGCGCGATCCGCATCATAGGCGATGAGGAGGTGACTAAACACCTTGAGCCTCTTCAATTACGCCGTGACGTGGCGTCACTAAGCGCGTTCTATCGTCTGTACCACGGCGAGTGTTCTGAGGAGTTATTCTCTCTTATCCCACCTTCTCCTTTCCTTCAGAGGACCACGCGCGCTGGCCTACGTTGTCATCGTCTAACTGTGGCCACAATTCCAACGCGTACAAAGAAATTTGGTGACTCATTTCTTTGTCGCACTATCCGTAAATGGAATGCTCTGCCCGCTCACGTGTTCCCTCCCTCTTACAACCTGGGATCCTTTAAAAGAGGCGTGAAGAAGCAACATGCAGGCCGGCAGGGTGAAGATGGCTGGTGTGGCAGGTAAAACTGCTGTATCAGCTATCGTCACGTCTGGACTTCACCTTCACTTAACATCAGGTGGGGTGGAGTCATTTGTCGGACCTATCTATAAAAAAAAAAAAAAAAAAAAAAATGGTCTTAAGTGAAAAGAACAGTTCTAATGTTGTACAAGGAAGATATACTCGCGCGCAAAAATGAAGGGTCATCACCTAGTCACCTCCAAAATAACTTTGAAACTATAACCTAAGCTGGCACTTTGAATTAAAAACACCTAAAAGAAGATTTTAATTACTTATAAAACAAACTAAAAACATTTATTTATTTGAAAATTAATATAATAATATTGCTGTTTTCCAGATGACTTTATTTTTGCGAGCAAGTGTATTTTGTAATAAAGAAAATTTCATTTAATTTCAAAAAAAGGTTGTTGACGCAAGTAGGTATTTACCTTTTCTCCGCTATCCGAAGGCAGATAAAAAGTGAGAACAGTGAGAAAGGATATCCCCATGCAGGGAATAATAATGTTCACTGTGTAAAATAACGTTTTTCTGCGCATCGTAATGTTGAATGTGATGTCCAGGTACGGCTCGTCACAACACGTATAAAACTTCTCGTTTCTGTAACAAAAAAAGTAGGAATAGGTAAGAGAAAACTCGGTATAATTTATTAACACGGAAACACGCTTTCAAAAACATCGAGTTAAATAAATAAAAATATAGAATAAATAAAAAGGTAAGTTTTTATTTCAAGTATCGAAGTCTCAAATCTTTACATAAACTGTTTACATATATATATATTATATATATTGATTTCGGAGAAGATGGCGCTGTTGCCACGATAATAATAAGCTCCGTATGTATTTTAACTTAAAAATAGATATTGTTCTTCAATTAACTTTTAGATACGTGAAACATGTTATTTCCATGCTATTTCCGAAGTGCAAGTGTTATCTGAGTTATATAAAAAGTACTGAGTGATATATCTGCAAATAAAATAGTGAACAGTGGTTTCAAAAAAGAAAGAAAACAAAACCGTGTTAAAACGCAATTTTCATCAAAAAATAATAAACAGAACTGTGAAAAATGAAGCAAATGAAAAAAAAGGTAAACTTTAAAGTGGCCCGTTTGGATAATTTAATGTGAAAAAGTATTTGGTCGGTTAGTTTTTCTTTTCTCAAACTGACCTCAACTCCCAAGGGACGAAAAGCATCAAGCAAGCTGTGGATACTGCCGCTAATTTGGCTTCTCCGTTCGATAGAAACATTGGTGCAGTGGTGTAGTCTCCGCATTGATAACACAACAGGTCGTCAGTTCAAATCACCGAGAGTAACAAATAATATTTATGTTTTTAAGATTTATTTATTAAAAATATGGAACTACCAAATGTACGAAGCAATGGACAGACTGTTGGCGAGTATGGAACATGAGAAGCAGATTGTATATATATATATATATGTTTTTCTCCTTTTTGTTGAAACCAAGGCAATTGAAGGGTAATAATATAGAACAGAGCCGTGGGAGGCTACTATTATTTTACTGAAGAAAAAGCTAAAAGCTCTGCAATCGCTGAATAAAGGGAAATAAATAATAGCAAGGATTTTGGGAGGAAATTAGCTGGGACCCACTGTTTATATCCTTGTGGAACGTGGAGCTCGACCTTACCTACGCACGCGTCCAGTATCACAACGAAGATCCTCCTTTTAATAAATATAAATTATGTTATTCTGTTGATAATGTGTGTATGTCTATAATTTTCTATAGCCAAAATAATCAGAATATTTGAATGTACAGTTAATACATACATATAAGTCGGTGAAATATATGATATGTATAGGTATAATAATTTAATAATTGATAATAAAATATTGAATAATACATAGATTCTATCATAGTCTTTATTAATCGGAATTGAAATTGTAATAATCAGGTGTTATTGCTATTCTGAATGTATCCAAATAATTGTTATCTTAATGTATTTTTATTTTTGTTAGATGTGCTTAAATGTTATAAATTCAAGTGAAATTGATATTGTCTTGTCTCAATATTATTATTTTAAGTTGCAAAAGTGCTTATCTGGTATAAAAATAAGAGAGTAATAATGTATATATATATATATATTTATCTTATGTGAATAAAATGTAATAAAAGTTTTCAGATCTTCAATAATTCATGTTGTAAAATGCTCAGCTTCTTTAAAAAAGAAGAAAAAGAATATGTAATAATATTTATTTTTCGAATAACTAAGTGTTACCACTTTGATAGAAAAGAAACTCCACATTAGTTTGTTAAGTATCAATATTTTTATGCATGTTATTGAAAACTTAGAAATATTTAACATTTTGAAAGGTATGTCTCAGCCACTTTCTTCTTTGCATGCTTCACAGTCTGTATCAGGCACTCTTTCTTTGAATAGTTTAGTAAAATGTGATCAATGTCGCAAGCCTAAATATTTCAAGAGTACAAGGGGTTTAAGAATTCATGTAGGAAAAGTACATAAAATATCTGCTAGTACCTCTTCCGCTTCGGACTTTGCTCCGAATAGAGCTAATTTATTCGCAGAATTTGAGCCACTTTGGAAATTATTGGGCAGATATAGGCACGCCTTACCTTTGGTTAAAAGAATCCCTCGGGGTGCCAGAATAGCGGTCGCAGAAAGTCTAAGAAAGGTTGTGGACAATGTCTTGGACAGCAATGATAAAACGAGTTGGGTGCAACTCCTTTCCTTTGCTTATAGGACCCTGCATGTATCAAAAGACAGTGGTACCTCATTGACTAAAAAGATCAGAGATAATTGTCTAAATGAAAACTGTACCCTTACATTTCCTGTTCGGGCCGGGACTTATAATATTAATAGAATGATCGAGACCAAAGTTAATGATGGGGACTTAAGAGGAGCTGCACGCTTATGCTTTTCTTCAGATACCGTTGCTCCGGATAACTTCAACACATATCAGTCATTGTTGTCTAAACATCCGGCACCGGCCACAGATCTTGTTCTGCCGGGGCCACCTAGTGGCTCGGAGAGCGTTATAGAAGCGTCGCCGGAGGACGTGCTGGCAGCTATAAATTCTTTCAGGAATGGTTCGACTGGAGGTCTGGATGGTCTTACGCCTCAACACATAAAAGATCTTGTGAGTGGTGCTACGGGTGATGCCGGCAGGGCGCTACTTGCAAGTTTAGTGTCTTTAATAAATCTGATGTTGTCCGGAAAAGTAACTCCAGAGGTCACATGCATTTTATATGGAGCTAGCATTTGTGCATTGACCAAGAAAGACGGAGGCGTGAGACCAATAGCTATTGGAAGCACTTTGAGACGTTTGGCGTCCAAGGTATGTTGCAAAAAGGCGTTACCAAATTTGAGAACCTTATTTCAGCCTGTACAACTGGGCTTCGGCACTAAAAGTGGATGTGAAGTGGCAGTGCATGCTGCTCGCACTTTTTTGTCCGCCGATGCTGGTAGGGTTCTGCTGAAGGTAGATGTTCAGAACGCTTTTAACTCAGTCGATAGAGGAATACTGCTGAGTGAAGTACAAAAACATGTGCCTTCTTTGTATCCCTTTATTTGGCAATGTTACGGATCGCCATCAAATTTAGTTTACCGCGAAAGATTGATTATGTCCTCTGTGGGTTGTCAGCAGGGAGATCCAATAGGTCCTGCAATCTTTAGTCTGGCAATACATGGCATCATTCAGAAATTGAAGTCCAAATTTAATGTTTGGTACTTGGACGATGGCACTCTAGGTGGTGACGCTGAAACAGTATTAGGCGACCTAAAATCTTTGATTGATTCTTTTTCGTCTATTGGCCTACAATTGAACTTTGGGAAGTGTGAGTTGTACATACATGATACTGTAGGGACAAATGATAGAAAGGATATTTTAGGAAAATTTACTCAACTGGTTCCGGGTTTTAGGATTCTTGATAAGGAGTCTTTTCATTTGTTGGGAGCTCCTGTACTTGACGAATCCATATCTCTGTTTGTGGAAGAACAAGTAACAAAATTTCATGAAAAATCGTCTCGCCTTCTCGAAATAAAGTCTCACATGGCTCTTTTTATTATGAAATGTTGCTTGTTTGTGCCCAAGTTCACATATAATCTACGTGTTTCTCAATTTTGGAAATACCCAAACCTTACGCATAATTTGGACGATCTTATTAAAATTACCCTAACTAGAATTTTGAATTGCTCCTTAGAGGGCCCGGCTTGGCAACAGGCGGCACTACCTGTGCGCTTTGGGGGGATTGGTGTAAGGACAGCAACGGATGTAGCTCTGCCGGCTTTTTTGTCTTCGGTTCATGCATCGGAATCTCTTTGCGGTAGTATTCTAGGCCCATCTCTGGGTTCCGTTGAGATTTCGGGACTTTCGGAGGCAAAAAGTAAGTGGCTGGCGCTGTGTTCTGGTGAGAGTCCTACCGTTTTCCACTCGCAGAGGAATTGGGATGAACCTATTTGTAAACGAAAACTTGAAACAATTATGGATACCTGTGACAACACAGTGGACCGCGCTCGACTTTTGGCTGTGTCTGAGAAGGAATCAGGTTTTTGGTTGCATGCATACCCTTCTTCGAATATCGGTACGTGTTTGGATAATTGCACCCTTTCAATGTCAATTGCACTTCGTTTGGGGGTCAAAACAAATGAACCACATCGTTGCCGCTGTGGAGAGCGAGTAAATGAAAGGGGACATCACGGCTTGTCATGTCAGAGGAGTGCCGGGCGTATAGGTAGGCATGCGTCAATTAACGACATCATTCGAAGGGCTGTAGTTACTGTTGGTATACCTGCAGTTTTGGAGCCATCTGGGGTATTGCGTTCGGATGGCAGACGACCAGATGGTATGTCACTTATGCCTTGGAGTATGGGAAGGTGTCTGGTTTGGGATGCAACATGCGTTGATACTTTCGCCCCGTGTCACATTGATGCGACCTCAGTTGAGCCCTGTGCGGCTGCTATAACAGCTGAGTGTAATAAAAGGCGCAAGTACCGGGATTTGGGTGAGACATATTTTTTCCTGCCTTTTGCTGTAGAGACAATGGGTCCTTGGGGCCCTGCTGCAAAAGTATTTCTTCAGGACATGACTGCTCGCCTGTGCGAGGCTACGGGGGACCCAAGATCTGGTAGCTTTTTTGCTCAAAGAATTAGTTTGGCGATACAGCGAGGCAACGCTGCCAGTCTTCTGGGGACCGTGCCCCGCACAGGCGAACTCAATGAAATATTTAATTTGTAATTGTTGTTTTACCTTTTGTTGACATTAATAAAAAATTGTTATATATTTTGTTATGACTGGAATCATACATTGGAATATATTCAAAATTATTTCAGTTGTCTCTTTGAGTCCGTTTACTTTAACTTCCGTTCGTTTAATTTTTATTCTTGTCATCGGAGTATCGCATAAAATAACATAAATCAAATGTGTATAAGTTTGTCTTATTTTACTGTAATGGGCAACAAAAGAAACATTTTATTAGAAAAAAATACAAGAAATATTAGAATCTTCACTTTTTCTATATAATTACTACCAAGTTAAACTCTCAATTACATTCACCTCCGTTTAAGATCTTGTAGTGTTTCATGTAAAATTATTCAGTCCTAATACCTCAATAATGTATCTATACGT